AACTTATTGGGATTTCGTTTCTACCAAAAAATGTCGCATTTTGATTATCCCTTTCTCTTTTCGTGATCGATTCTAAAATAAGGGCAAACGGTGGGAAAACTTTGTGTTCGTATCTTAAAATGTCATAAACGCCACATTTTCTGCCCTTTGAAGCTTCGTCAGAGGAGATGGTTGCCCTGAAAATTAGATGGTTGCTTCAAACGATATTGTTATGAAATGCGTGAGCTGACCCTTTTAAAGGGTTGAGTGTATTATCAAACATTTTTTGCTAGAAACAAAATCACCATTAAATGACAGAAATTATTTGTCAATTAAATGCCTAGTGGAAATTTAGCACTATTCGTGAACATACGTAAATATTTGTATGAGTCGAGTTAGTTAGTGTCTATAACGGAAATGAGATTTCTTAGAGGCTGGGTTCAATGGGCTTACCAATTTGCATTGATCTAAGCCGGAAATAAACGACAGGAATCTACAAAACACCAAATTCTGTTCAGTAATTTCTGTTAGGGAAGTGAACTGACAGTCATAACTTCTATGTTCTATCCCGACTATGTCTAAGATTTTAGCATGGAATTTGTCCGTCAGTCGCAGCCCATTAAACGCACTTCTCACCTTCTTTTTATCAAATCACTTTATTTGTATATTCAGTTTAGCCGAATTTGTAATAAACCAGCGATTTTGAGGCATCATATTTATGTGTATTTGAACATTTAGTGCTAATTGACTGTTTGACTATTTTCAATATCAATTTAAACCAGTGCAAGTTCTCGATTATAACTATTGTACAATAGCATTTTTTAACACTTCAGTTCGCAAACGACGTATAACATTATAATAAAAAGTGATAGGTACATATTTTCCATAAACACAATTGGGTCTTATTGACACTTTGTGGCACACGCGTTTTAACTGATACAAAGGGAAAGCATTTGGGATGTGCGATTAATCAATTAATCGAACGAGCTGATTAATCAAAAGCCGATTAATTATTTAACCAAAAAATCGTTATTTTTGATTAATCAAAATGATTAATTTTTCGATTAATTACATATTGATTGATCAGAATCTAATTAATTTGATTGATCAACAAACTGATTAATCATAACCTGATTAATATGTACATATTTACATGGTATGTACTACACTACTACAAGTACGTACTTGTTTGGAATTTTATTTTTAATAATAAAAATTTTTTATTACATATTATCAAATTTAATTTGGCTTGAAAGCAAACTCGAAAAAATTACCAAAGTTATTCATAATTCAAATAATTTTTTTTTTTTGAGTTAACAGTAATTACTCAGGATCTGATCAATCAAATTATTTGATTAATCAGGATTATGATTAATTAAAAAATTGGTTAACCGATTAATCGCACATCCCTAGAAAATATAGTAGATACACAGTTCCGCAACAAATCTTTATGGCGTCGTATGACCCAAAGCCTGAAATCAAAGTTGCACGAGTTTGCAAATATGCCACCTTGCGGTGTTTACATACATACATATGTACATATGTACGCCCCATTCTTGCATCCTCACATTCCATTCCGCTTCCATCGCTTCTCGTTGCGATCGACTTACTAAACAATAATAATCGCGCCATATGTAGCTGCATATTTCATTGATTTGTGGCGCTGAAAATTTTCACGCTGCTAGAATTGCCGTACAGATGCTAAAACCGCGATCACTTAACACTTTTAACTACCCATTTCCAACACAACATCAATTGAGTTTCATTGCTATCGATCGCGCTGAACGTTTGCATTGCAAATCGACGGTTACTTTGGCAAAACATCGTATCTCAGAAAGCACTAATACTTCGTATCTCGTAAAATTAATTCAAAATAGGCCTTTAACTGAAAAGTACTTAATTTGTAATATCCAGTAAAAAAAGTTATTAAAAAATGATTTTCCGTTATTGATAGAGAGTTTTTTTTTTGTTAGATAGTGTTGTTTCAGACTGTTTTGAGATACGAGGTTTTGCCAAAGTACCGTCGAAATGTGGGAGTCGAGGAGGGAGGGGCACAAATGCCATCGTTTAGGACAAAATAGACTTTCTAATGGAGATAGTGGAATTCGAGGTCACTATTAATGCGCATGGGAAAGGAAATATTATTTACACATAGAAACAGCGAAGTGATGGAAGCTGTGTCACGCAACACTTCCGCCGCCAGCTTTGTAGTGAGAAGACAAGCAAACTCTTACTTAAATTTATTTTGTACTTATTTATTTTATTATATTTCTCTTTTGTTTATTTTCTTTCAGAGGGCGAACATGTCATCATTGACAATAGCTGCATTGATGAAGTATCCGACTTGCAAGCGATGGGCTCTGAGACCAGCTTGAATGAGATCCACTCACACCAGTGCACGGAAAACATTGCACAAGACTACCAGCTGGCACAGCAACAGCTACATTTATTGCAGCCGCTTTTGCAGCAACCTCAACAGGAGCATCACCAACAGCCACCGCATCATCACCAAGAAACTCAGCAAGTTCCCATACAAATTCACCAACAGAATGTTGTTGACGTCTGTGTGGGCGTTGTTACCAATGAAGTATACAACAACAATAATCAACTATTGATGACCGATGTAAATGAGTTGAATGAAAACGTGCCAAATGAAGAGCCGACCGAAGTACCTGTGGCGGCTGTGGCCCCATCACAAGCTCCTGCCGCGGTAGACGCTCCAGTACCGATACCGGTACCGGTACCGGCATCACAGCATCAGCAACCGCCACCGCCACCAACAGTGGCCGCCGTAGTGACTGCACAGCAGTCGACATCAATCACGCCAGTGGCAAGTGCTGCTACAGCTACCAATGTATCGACGCAACAGCAACAAATTCAGACCTCGCCTCCTTTGCAGAAATATCACCAACAGCAGCAGCAGCAGCAGCAACAACAACAGCCACCACAACAGCAGCAGCAGCAGCATCCAAAGCATCAGCAGCAATCGTACAATCGTTACGATCAGCAGCAACAGCAACAGCAACAGCAGCAGCAGCAGCAACAACAGCAACAACAACAACCGCACCATAATCAACAATATCACCACCAACAAAATCATCATTATCAATATGAGCAGCGCAGACCACAACAGAATTACAATAGTAATCAGTCGCGCCGTAAATACGATTATAACAATCCATCGTATGCTCCTAATAATAACAACAATAACAATAATGATTCTGCCATCCAAACTACAAAGACAATGTCATGGACAAATTCGAGCAAAAAGTCAACGGCTTCGGTCGCGGTTACCGCCACACCGACTAACAACAATAACAACGCCCAGAATAGAACGTACAGTCATTCGACGAAGACGTATACGAATCATCAACATCACTACCAGCAACAGTCGCACTACCATCAGCAGCAGCAGCAGCAGCACCAACAACAACAGCACGGTGGCCACTACAATCAAGGGCCGCAGATGCGCAACTATAGCGGCATGAAAATGCCTTCATCACCAGTGGGCAGTGGTGCGCCACCACAGTTTGGCAACAATGTGAGTGGGGGTGAGCGTCGGAATAGCCAGGCAGAGCAGCCAAAATACGCGAACTCTAACAATGGTTCATACAACAACTACAATCAATATTCCAATAATAATAGCAACAACTCTTCTGGGAAGCAGCATTAATTTGAATAGCGCAACGGCAGCTACTTCGACTGCTAGCACCACCGCGGCGCCGCAACACTTCTCGCAACAGCAGCAACAATACTCACAAGGCGGCTCGCAGCAGCACCAACACCACAACCAGCAGCAACAACCCGCACAGCCGCCACAACAACAGGCGCTGGTAATCGATAGCAAGCAATATCCCGGCTTTACGAGCAGCAAGAAAGCCGCCGCCGCCGCCGCCGCTGCGGCTGCTGCAGCAGCAACGGCTTCCTCCTCTGTCGCGCCCATAATGAATTTGGCGCCACCAATCCCTACGAATACCAACGCCTCCACATCTAGCACCCAATCGTGGGCCAGCTTATTCAGCGACACCAATACATCGGCCACATCGTCCGCAAGCGCCAGTGGTGCCCAGTCCAGCAGCAACAGCAGCAACACGAACGCCAGCAACCAGAGTAGCAACTCTGCACCTGCGCTGCCACCACCATTTTCATCCAAGAAGCCGGTTGCCAAAGTTGCGCCGTATGAGTGCGTTGTGCCTGCGCCGATCAATCCTGCCCCGCCAGTGGTGCTGCCGGGAGCCATGTCCTACTCGGCTGCATCTGCTCAGGGCATATCACCTCAGCAGCCGGCAGCAGCTAAAGCGGCCGCAAAGGCAGAACCGCTCACACCAATAGCCCGTGCCAATTTGGACGAATATACACTGAAGTTTGCGGATTTCCTGACAAAGACCAAAACCGACTTGTCCACAGTGAGCTTGCGTCCACGTGGGCTCACCAATCCCTCCAACTACTGCTACATCAACTCCATTTTGCAAGCGTTGCTAGGCTGTGCGCCATTCTACAACCTGATGCGCTCCATACCAAAGCAGGCAGCAGCGCTTTCCGAAGTGCGCACCCCCACAGTGAACGCGCTGTAAGTGACATGCCCTTGTTTTCTTAGAATCTCGTCTGTTGAATTATTAATATACATGTACATACATATGTACATATGCCATAAACAGTCAGCGGTTGCGCTCTATTAACAATTGAATGCGATCGCGTTACATTTATGGTAGAGTAATTATAACCGAATTGCTTTGTGACTGCGCGTGAAACCGTTTTGGTGGAGCGCCTTGGTTGCATGCGTTTCGATACTGTCTCTACCGCAAAGTGAAATGGCGCTGGACTGCCTTTTGCACAAGGAAACAGAGATGCACAAATAGTATTTTAATGATATCTTTTTATAAATAAAAAGTTGCATTTTCTATTTGCTTGCCTTTCATTGCCTCAGCTAAATTTTAATTGTATTTTTTTTTTTTATAGCATCTCATTCGTTTCGCAATTTTCTACGCTGCCATCTGGGATGCGTTTACGCACAAATAAGGGTCCTAAAGGCAAAGACGAACTGGGTAGTGAATTGCAATGCGATTCTGCTTTCGAACCAACTGAAATTTATCGCTTATGGGTCGATAGCCGCGAAGAGTACGTGGAGGGACGTCAAGAGGACGCCGAAGAATTCTTAAGCTATGTGCTCAACAAACTCAATGATGAAATGCTAGAGGTGAGTGATAAATTGCAATTAAAAGTTTTTATGCCGGCTAAATGAAAATTTTCCTCAGGTAATAAAACTGGTAGCTAAACCAAACGCCGAACAAAATGGTCGAAACGATGTTTCGGAGAGTGAAGACGGCGATGAGTGGCAGGTATGTTACGCGAATTGTAGCATTAAGGGTAGATTCTACTAGATTTTGGCTGCTCTTTCACCGTTTACTCGTTTCAAATCTAAAACGTTGTTTTTTTTATAGATGATTTGCAATAATCGCAATAAGGGTAGTGTCACACGCCAAACCGATTTCGGACGCACTCCCCTGAGCGACATCTTCCGCGGCGAATTGCGTTCACGTTTGCAGCGTGAAGGCGAGCACTCTACCGATGACATTCAGCCATTCTTTACGTTGCAACTAAATATAGAAGTAAGCCCTTTTTTCCCGACAGTGCACATGTGTGCAAAATAATTATTATATGTTGACGTATGTAATTGTTTAAATTCTGTTTATTTATAGAAAGCCGCTTCAGTGAAGGAAGCACTCGAAATATTGG